AATCCGCAGAGAACAGCCTAAGACATAAAAGGGTATAACAACGTGGCGAAGTGATACTTAGTCGACGCTAGCCGGAGTCGGGGCGGGTCGCTTTGTCCTGTAACCTAGCAGGTGGGGGGATTTCTAGGGTGGGTCGTGCCACTCTGTAACCTAGCAGTTGGGGGTGGGAGGCCTGGTAGAGATTGGGTATCGGGGTATAGGAGGGAGGCGGATAGGGTTGAGTTGTTGATAGTCGCTAAAGGTAGGTAGTTTTCGGTCCGAATATTTTCGTGATCAAATCTTAGAAAATCATGGTCTTACGAATGACTTGTGATTCTGGGGACCCCTAGCAACTCATTTTAGGAGGCTTCATTGCTGTTATACTCAGTGATCTGTGGTTGTCCGATGCCAGAACGATGCTGGCCGGTACTAGGGTGTTGCCCTGTAACTTGCTGATGCAGGAGCGTGAGGCCTGGCAGCGAGATTTGGGAATGCTTTGAGGTGGGCATTTCAAGGGACAACAAGGGTTACTGCTGGGACGACGCTGGTCGGAGCTGGGGTGAGTCGTGTTGCCCTGTAACCCGAGCGGGTGGGGGTGTGAGACCTGGAAGTGCTCGGCAGGGAGTAAGGCAGTGTTGGAGAATTTTAGAAGGATCTGCTAGGGATTCCGAGGGTTTTCAACATTTAGAGGACCTTTGTGATGGCGATTTTTGCTTCTAAAAACTCCATAATTTTCTTAGCCAAAACGGGGCAATGGCCCTGGTAGCTTAGAAAAAGAGGGGTTCCTTTCGTCCCTTTGTGGAGCTTAGAAGGAAACTTCTCATATTTTTTCATATTTTTTTAGACTTTTTCTTAATTTTAGCCTATCTTCTGGGTTTCTTCAACGAATAGTCTAGTAATTCCTCATGATTTTATTCTTAAGACAAAGCCGGGTTGAAGTCCCGGTATCTCAAAATGTTTTCTGTATGTGCTTTGAAGTATGTTTCATGTTCCAAATGGGACGTTGGGCCCAGTTCCCAGCACGTGCGGCTCCCCATGAATAGATTGGAGCATTGTAAAAAAAAAAAAAAAAAAAAAAAAAAAAAACGGGGACCCCAACCTGCTCCCGACCAACAAATCCACAACTGAAATTAGGGTTTGGAGGTCAAATTTTATGTTTTTTAGTTTTTATAACTTTTTTTATTTGAGCAACTTTCCCTAGTAGTCCTGGTCCCTGGCTTCCCCGATCTATTGGTGGGGAGCAACACATGCTGGAAACCGGGGGAAAAAACATCACAGTACTATTGGAAGTTGATAGACTGAAGTTACTTAACCAAGAGATTGACAATGGATTCGCTGGATGATAATGACAGAACTGTAAGAATAAACCACCATGTTTGGCGTCACAGATAGCTGTTGTAATGACAACGAAACTTCACAGAAACTTCAATGATAACAACCAAGCTGCCAGCAAGTCAACACAGGAGAAGAAAATGATAACAATAGGACAGACCACACGACATGAGAGGAGAAGGTAAGGACGGAGAGAATCAACTCGAGTAATCCCGAACGCAACGTTAAAAATAAGCGTGAAGAACAATTCTGAATGCAAGCATCCGGTGGCGAAGCGACCCGACCGGTTTCGACTGACCGCCAATGCCAACACTCATCAGGGGTATGTTGGTACAAAACTAAACTTAATGATTCTATTTATGGATGAAAGACTACACAGTCTAGAGGGACTAGTGATCTAGGTACAACCCAAAGTCCACATACAGGTTCTTGAAACTTCTAGAAAAGGCCTAGCTACATTCTCCTAGAAACCACTTTCTTCAAAGTCACTGGTTCGAATACCATCCACCCACTGTAGGAGCCAGTACTAAAAGAAAACTCAAACGACGGACAATCATCCCTACTGCGCCCGCCGCCTAGATAAACAAGGTGCCCAACGTTGCTCGGTCAAACCCCCGAGGGCATAAAAAAAACTCAATCCAAAAACACTAACCTACCAAAACTCAAACCCGAAACGACAACCATCAACACATCTGGGTTCACCGAAACTTGCCCAAAGCTACGACCGACATACTCTATCCCATCCTGTCAACACAGGCAACCATTGCTGCCATATCCCACCATATTTCCATGAAAATTGTTCAGAGCGTTGTCAAACACCTCATCAGGGTAAGCTCGTTTCCACAATTCAACCTTCAAGGTAAAAAGAAAGAGAAGCTCAGAATCAGGAACAGTAGCAAAACGCCTAGCACGATGCAAAAAGGAACCTACGACCGCAATCTTCTGCTGCTTGCTCGAGAAAGAGCAGTAATCTTGATTGCTTTGAAATATCAATCGCTCCTTCACAGGCACGCGCTGGTTCTTATGGCAAGGAAAACTCACCACCTCACTCGTTTTGTTAAAAATTCTCAACACGCAGCCAAGGTACTCCCAACAGTCTCCGATATTGGTCTGTTCTAATGTCAAGTTCTTATCGTAACTGTTATGGAACCTCTCCAGGATTTGCAAAGCCCGACTCAATGAAGCAACATCCTGCTTATGGTAACTCACGAACACCGACACATCATCAACAAGACGAAATCCATGAAACAACAATGTATCCGACCCCAAAGAAGAGAGGAAAATATATTCATTATAAGCACATAAAAGACACGCCAAAGCTGGACTTGACGACTTGCCCATCAGTATACTAACATTCTGTTGCAACAAGCTACCGACAGCCATCACATACGTGTTACGAAGTTCAAAGTCAACAAACTTAAACAAAAGATGGAATTTCAAAACAATCCACCCTTCCTCACCTCTCTTTTTAACAATCTTAGTCCCCTTTCCTCGTTTCTTAACTGCCACAGCCGTATACTCCCGGTTCTCCCAAAAATCAATAACCCACACAACCGCCTGCAGAATAGAGGGGTGAAGAAGGTTCGCGAACATTTCTTTACATCCTACGAGACCCCCACCAGTCCATCATTTTTCTTAACGTTTTTGTTAACGTTCATAATACCTGTCACCAAATCTTCCGTGCACCGCAGATTCAAGTTAGAACGTTCTTGTAAACTCCACAACATACAATTAACGGTTTTGGAGACCAGCTTCCCTCCAACAGTGAAACATTCAGGGTATGAAGGGCAAATGGGTCGCCACCGATCAATGTCCTTAAACTTGGGAAGACAGTAGGCCCGTCCAAACTCCCCATCACTCTTCCACCTCGCCACTTTTTCCAATCCTTCGTGTTTATACAAGACAGCTAACTTTTCCAGCACCTTCCGTTCTCCACATCCATTGGTCGAAAAAGCCGAATTACTCAGGAACAACTTCTCCATCCTAGATCGATACACCATGGGGCAACAGACATAGGTGTCCCGCATGTTATGATCCAGGGGACAATACACCAACTTTCGCAAAACTCCGAGAAAAGGTTGGATACCATCTTCGTTGTACGTAGGGACATTGGAGGGTAGGTTATCTCCCAAGCAAAAACACGATTGAAGATCACCAAACACAGAAGAGCAAGACTCGAGAGGAGGGAGAGAGGAATGGGAGTGGAAGGCTTTCACAATCTGCCTCTTGAGGGTAACAGACGAATGACGACGCGTGGGTCGAAGAATATTCTTGCTATTCTTCATCCAAGTAGGAAAGGAATCCAACTCCAAAATCCTAAAAGACACGTGTCCATTGCGACTGGGAATGTCACCCTCAATCAACTCACAGCAACACGCAACATCACAACTTCTAGCATGCTTACGAAAATTGTGCAGGAAATCCCCTACAGAACGATTCCGAACCCACACAACGCGAATACGTATAATCAAAACCTCCTTCCATACTGTTGGAATTCCTAGCTCCTGTATCAGTCGGGCACAAATCCATCTTACTTGCGATCTCCTAATACAATCGTTGTATACCAATTTAACAACCAAACGTTCCCATAATTGAACCTCAAATTTGACGAGATGCTTTTTGAGAGAATACACCGTAGCCGTCCCCGTGTTCGCTTCACACTAAAAGTACGAACTGCTGTAAACGCCACAACCAGAGACTCAAAAGTCCAGGAATGAAGAGATAAGCGGGAAGAGGGAGAGCTAAGCAGTTGAATGAGAGCCGGTTTGAAAGCCAGATATTTACTTAAGAAGGGAATAACAGATTCAAACGTAATTGTAACACCGACTTTAATCCATCCACGAACGTACCAGAACAAACCACGACCAAAGGACCAAGGCACAAGGGATCCCCCATACGCACGACGCACCACCTTCCACGAATCAACAAACAGCTCCCCACCTCGACATGTTACAACAAAACGATGAATCGACTTCTCACGACATTAATGAAGAATCAAAAGAAGACTGCCAGAACACCCACCGAAGCTTGGAAAAAAAGTAAGTAACGACTTACTCTCCAAAAATGTCGAAACTGCTGAACAACGTTTACGTTTAGATCTCCTCAATCTCTCCCTTAGACCAGGACGTGAACGTTTAGATCTCCTAGCTTTATCCCTAGTGTTTAACGATGGAGAGAACAATCGTATAAAAAACTTTTCACATGCCCTTACATCATCTTCCGTAGACACACACAACGGAATAGCAACATACTTATAAGCTCCACATCTACGCAACCATCTATACAACCGTTCATTCCTATTCCCTTTGCCGATCAACTCAGAATTACATGCTCTATACACGTGCTCTCCCCATCGCGTATGCACATCTATACAACCGTTCATTCCTATTCCCTTTGCCGATCAACTCAGAATTACATGCTCTATACACGTGGTCTCCCCATCGCGTATGCAAGTCACAAGTGGTACTTCCAATATATAAGTGACGGCACCAAGGAGAAAACAAGGCATACACCAAAGGTCCATTCCCCGCTTCAAAGTCAAACTTATTCGCAGTCAAACAAAGAAGGAAACCACCCAACTTCACCCCCCAAGGTATCTGCCCCAGCACTATCAGCGATAGAACAGCCAGGCACAAAAGGGTATTGAGTGACCTACTCCGAATAAAATCATTAGACGCTAATTGAAACTGAACACAAAAGCGCAAAAGATTCCAATAGCCACGCCACGTCCGGGAACGAACTCACGAAGTGGTTGAGTCATCGTTGACCTCGGTACTGTCGTTGGTGCCCTGCTCAGTCTCCTCATTGACCTCGTGTATCCGCACCCCAACTTTCTTAAGGGTCCCGTCTCGATCTTTGCCAAAGGCTACATCAGCACGTTTAAGTGCCAATTCCTCCTTGGTCTTTCCCAAAGTGGAATAGGAACCCCCCTCCTTCTCACATATTGCAACGAATTTATCCTTCTTCAGCGGTTTCAACGTACCTCTAGTCTCACTCAGAAAAGCCTCCCGATCGTTAACCTCAACAGCCTGCGTAGCAGGGCTCACCGGCCTCTTCCCTTTGTCTGCAGTCGCAACAGCCACCTTGTCCAAACGTGTCTTAAGATTAGAAGCGGTCGGAGTACGCCTCCCAACTTCCAGTCGAGCCATCTTCTCCTTCAAACGATCAACTTCCTGCTCCGCCTGCCTCCGTCCGTTCAGCTCACGTAACCGCCACTCTCTTAAAAGCTCAATTTCATGTTTTTGATGCTCAACTCTCTCTTTCAACTTCAGGTCTTCAACAGAAGGTGACGGGATCGGAGTCACCCGAGCACGAGTCCTCGTCCCAGGGACAGGGATAGCAGTAACCGCAACGCTCCCTCGTTTGTTGTCGGGTCGGAGCGCTTCATGCTTCCAAACATCGGCGGCAGCAACAGCTTCCTTGTTCACCACTCTAAGCCTAGCAATCTCATCCTCCATGGCGGCAAGACGACGGGCAGACTTCGCCCTTTCTTCCTCTAGCTCACGCTTGTATCGGTCAAAGGCATTTTCCGAAGACGACGCCCCATTCCCATCACGTAAAGTTTTCCGTAAACTCTCAATCTCCAGACGCATCTTCGTAACTTCATCATCATTACTTCCTTTCTTGCTTTCCAACAGTTCGCGGACGGAATCTAACTTGCCACTAAGTTCATTCTTCATCTCAGCTTGAAAATCTTCCCGTGCCTTCTTCTCTCGTAACCTACGTTCTTCTTCTTCATTCTCCTTCTTGATCCGCTCCTCTTCTTCTTTCTTGCTCTTTTCTTTCGCGATCTCAGCATCCTGGTGTGCTTTAATCCCTGCAATGAAAAATGTATTGGCGGCAGTGGTTTGGTTCTTACACCGCTAGATAGGAAACCTGGGGAAAAAAACATTGGCGATGTGCCTCACGTTGTACTACGAAGCCATGCTGAACAAGTTCGTTAAACCACCAGTACTTGGCCCAGCTATCGGTTGTGGGCCTTAGCCGTTAATGGGCCACGACCTGGGCTCTTTGGGGTACCGGACCACAAAGGCTGGAGACACCAGCCAAAAGAAAGGAAAAAAAATGGTGCGCTGTCAGTTCGGCGAAACTTGGTGCGCAGGGCTTTTCGAGGCTGGGCATCGATAGCTGGGCCAAGTAATGGTGGTTTAAGGAACCCAGGTTGTCGTGTTGTTCAACACAGAGAAGCGCAGGTGTTGAAGGAGATACGGGAGTACGCCTCAGGTGCTGGTTTGTGTCAAGTTTGTGAACCGGGACAAGTGGGTAAATTGCCTCAGCGTACTATGGCTTTCCTAAGCAGAAGCATCTGGACCATTATAGTCCGATTTGCCCCACGGTCAACGAGCCAATGATCAGGAGGGGTAGACTGGTAGCTAATGCCTTGAACCACCTGCTGTTCGCCTTACCTAACCCCAGGCCATGATGACTGGAAGGCAGTGGAAGCATGAAAAGAATCAGCAAGAGGCTATAGAAAACTGCAGTAGGAATGAAGGTGATAGCATTCGCTTATGACATTAGACCGCCGATAAGTTTTCCCGGTAAGAAATCAAATATGCGGCTTGCATATAGCCGCAACTTTCAGGAAGCACTGGGGCGCCGTTTTGCTGGATATCCATCCAGGCGCTGGATATCCATCCAAGCTAAATGGGCCGCTAAACGGGCCTCAATGATTGGACAAAAATAGACCCAGCTATCCCAATGAAACCCGCCCAGGAGTTCCCTGACCCCTTCCCCCCCCCTCAAACAGTCTAGTAGACTTAGCATGGTTTGGGATGAACGCTTGATTGGACGAGACAGCAGTCTGTCAGAACAGGGGAGGTGAGGAATAATCAGGGCATGTTCTGTTTTTGCTTTCTCAGCTTCAAAAATACAGCTGTGGGTAGGTCGGGGGTGGGAGGAACTAGAGTACAGCAGCTGATATCTGGCGCCGGTTTCTAGGTGAAGAGGTTCCCCCCCTCCGTGCCTCCTGCTCAGTCAATCCCCTGGATGCCAGGGCAATCAATGCTGGCAGGAAGCTCTCCTTATGGCACTYTTGATCTGTTTAATCTGTTCATGGGATGCTGGACCCGCTTTCCAGCAGGTGATGCTCCCCACCAATAGATGGAGTCTTTCCCCGGGTGGTAGTGGTGTCTGCTCTTACCAGCAACACTAGCACTGGCAGGGGAGTGTTTTCTTCAAAAAAAAAAAGGGGCCTCACATCCGACCCGTTTTGCCTGGATGGCTACGCAATGAAACAGGGCCCTGGTACTTCGCAAGAGTCGCGCCGCGACTATGAAAAAATGGCTGGGAAACGTGCTAGTCGAGTATGTCAAGCCTTCTTCCTCACGAGTGCGTCATTGATGCCGTCCATTTTCTGTACACACCGCAAATCATGATTGTATCCGATCATAGTGTTGAAGGTAGGAACATGATAATTCGGGTTGGATACAAGAGCTAAAGGGTGCTCCTAAGGCCACACTACAGTGGGTGATCACCGGAGAAAGATTTTTTTTTTTTTTTTTTAATTACTCTATATTCTTCTCTCATAGGAATTTTTTTTTTTTTGGTGAATTTTTAACTACGCTTTTTTTTTTTTTTTTAACAACTTTCAATGAAGGCCAGGAAGCGGGCTCGGCATCCCTCACATGAATGCCGCAGCCACACGGGGTTGAGAAAGGCACTTCCAGCCAACCCCATCCCCGACCACAGCCGTCCAGCTCCCGAGGCCCTGCGCCCCCCCCCCTACTATAAGGTCCCAGTTGCAAAAAGGAAAGAAAGGTGGAAAACAAACATGCCCAAGGCACAAAGAAAAACTACCATCCTGTAAAGGCTAACCATATCCTGTCGGTGTTTTTTTTTTTTTTTTTTTTTTCCACGCCACCCGGTCAGCTACATATGTCACATATTCATACACTGTGGTAAAAAGCCACAATCCTATGACCATATACTATCTGATTGTCTTATCTGAGTATCCAAAGATCCCCACACACTTATCTACACCAGTCAATTACCCCTATATGGCGTTGTACATTCCACCTCACCCAATCTTCTCGTACATATGTACAGAAGGTCACAAATTCACAAATTCACAGATTCACAAATTCACAAATTCACAAATTCTGAAATTCACAAATACACAATCTCACAATTTTGCAAGTTCACAAAAAGAAATCAGAAAAAAACGAAGTGGTGAACGCCCCCGCCCACAAGGCAACGGTACACAATCCATAGAAAGCTCCCTATCTGCTACGAAACCATTTCACCGCTTTAGCCGAGCAGCCTTTCTTCTCTCATATGGAAGGGACCCATTGAATTAGGACGCGGTGTAATGACGACGCCGAAAACCATAAAATTTTCCAAGGACTTCCTCCTAATTCCCAAGGAGGGCCTAACAAAAAAAAAAAAAAAAAAAAAAAAAAAAGGGAAAAAAAAGAAAAAAAAAAAAAAAAAAAAAAAAAAAAAAAAAAAAAAAAAAAAAAAAAAAGGGTCTAAGGAGGCCCGAAGTCGCAAAAAAATGCACTTACCCACATTGCCTTGATCGGAACACTATTGTCCGCAGCGAGAGTTCGCAACAGGTATTCACGCTGAAGACGGAACTAAGAATGAAAGGTTTTCTGGATTACTAGTGCTGAACAGATTCACTAAGAGGCATCATAAACCACCAGTACCCCCGAGGCAGCCTTCCCAAACCGTTTGTTCCTTCAAGCCACCGAGCCGCTTTCGTTTTTGTGAATTGGGCTGCTGCACCGTGGAGATATAGCAGCTGACTGGGCGACCGGTCTCTCTGTTCTGATTGTTTGCTTTTTTTTCCCCTGAGTATTTTTTCTTTTTTTTTGCCGTCGTCTCTTTTTTTTTTTTTTTTTTTTTTTACAAAAGCATCTGCGGTAACATGCCGGCATCCCCCAATGGTAGGCCCCGAGTGATAGATGGCTCCAATCTATTGGTGGGGAGCGGCACCTGCTGGAAACCAGGTCCAGTGTCCCACTTACAAGAGTGGAGGAAGTCATATCAAACAATTAGGTCAAGCGGGACAGCATTGATTACCCTCTTCCGAGGGGATTGACTGCCCGTGTCATTATAGGGCAAGTTAGATCCTACATTTGAGCTCAATCACAGATCCCATTGTTTGTCGATGTTTATTCCACACCGTTTCCTTTTATCGAGACGAGACAATCCCTAAGCCCCCTCCCAGCCTGAGAATGTCAGTGAAATCCAACCACCACCTGTACCCGGCCACGTTTGTCATTTGGTGTTTAATCGTTCTTATTTAGAGTTATTCCTTACTGGCAGATCGCATGTCACACAGGGAGAAGGGGAACAGTGGAGCCTTCGTCTCTTTTTCTTTTCTGCCATTTATGTGCAATTCGCCAATTTACCCCCTCGTCACAGAATGCCACGGCTCTCCAGCTACAACCTGAGGGGTCCGCTCCACTACTCTCCACATGCACAGGACAAAAACATATGGCAATGTATCTTGCCATGTTCTAGCGTAGGATTCAGTCTCATTTCGCACATTTGGAGAGCAGTGGAGGGAGGCCCTAATGCACAAAAGACAAAAACTAAGCCCCTGTATCTGTTTTGTTTCCCCTTTTTTCAGACTTTTTTTTTTTTTTTTTTTCCCTCTACTTTTTACATTCTTCTATATTCTTCTCTCAACTTCTGTTTTTGCCTTTCACTACCTACTCCTAAGGCTATCTAGAGGGGACCCCTGCAAGCATAGTTTCCTCTCACTGTGAACGTGAGATTTTCGGACTATTCCTCTATTTATGTGTGTTATCCTTCTTTTTTTTTTTAAGGCCCATGTACAAGGCCTCTACCCCAGTGGTGGTAAGAAAACCACCGGAATTGAGGCTTTGCCTGGTGGGCTGCTCCATCTATTGGTGGGGAGCATCACCTGCTGGAAACCGGGTCCAGCATCCCTTGAATACATCTTTTTCTTTCTGAGATGTTATCCTCACACAGGGCTATGCTAATCTTTAGTATATCTACCAGCGTTCCCTCTGAAGATTCATTCTCATTTTTCCAATTCGAAGGCAGTGCAACGTGAATGCCACTCCGCAAATCTCTACAGAGGTACGGGTAACGTGCCTGTCAGAGTCATGGCACTGCGCAAATCTCTACTAAAGTGCGGCTAACACGCCTGTCAGAGTGATGCCACGGGGGCTGTAGCTTTCTGCTCTTCTTTTTTGGCCAATCTATTTTTCGATTCATGCATGCCATCCTCGTCAGGGGGAAGATTCGTTCTCATATTTGCACGCTGGATAGTTCTTCACCAGAGACACTGCTCCACCACCTGTCGTGCACCATTCCCAGTAAGCTTTTCCCTTTCCAGATCTTTCTTTTTCTACCTTTTTTTTTTTGTTGAATCCTACTGGTATTTCCTACTCTGGTCGTTCCTTCTCGTTTTCAAAAAGAGCGACCCCCGGTCCCCCTACCGAGGCTCTACCCGGCCTCTATCAACCCTGTCAAGGACCTGCATGAATTCAGGAGGTTGGGTTTTTTGGCTGGGCGGGATACTGGTGGTATAAGTTATGGGAATTAGCCCAGCAATTTCTGGGACAACTACGCGAACAGTAGGGTTTTTTTTTTTTTTTTTTTTTTTTTTTTTTAACCCAGCAACCTCTACTAGAGGGGGTGGTAAGAGCGGCAACCTCTAGTAACTGTCCCTGGCTGCTCCATCTAGTTTAGTTGTTTGTGGTGCTTTGCTGCTTTCTGGGTTTCTACGCAAGCAACGTGGAGCCTGGACTGTGTGGTTTGGTGTTGATTTTATTTTATTTTAATTCAGAGGTAAGAATG